ATCTGCTTAAAGCAGGTTGTTGCTGAGTTTCCTCTGATCCTGATTCCACATTCTTCTTTGTAAAATCTAGCCTCTCAAGGGAGCTCTGGTGGCCTAGTGGCAAGACGCTGCACTGCAATCCCAGAGGTACCCAGTTCAAATCCACCAGAGGCTCTGCTGGAGAAGGAGGGGGCAATCTCCTCCTGTACCAGTCAGATCTGATTTTGACGGTACACATAAAAAATAATACAATAAAAATAAAATTTTTAAAAAAAATCTAGCCTCTCAAATTATTTGCTCAGCAGACTGAATTGTGATATTGTGTGCTGTCAAACTGGAACCAACTCATAGTTGACCCTCCAGCAGTTTTTCAGATGCAGTAAATCCCATGGTAGGAGACTGCCCATCCTTCTTCCAGTGGATTGAATCAAAGGCCTTTGGGATTGCAACACAGCTTCTTAATATCAGGCCACTAGAGCCCCTGATAGATTAAATAAGTTTGGAGAAAGGACACAGCCCTGATGTGCACTTTGTTGATTTCAAACTATATAGTATTCCCTGTCGTCAGGGAACTCTCCAGAATACTGAAGAGCAACGGCATCAGTTTGGAGACTAAAGTGCAGCTGATTCAGGCCATAGTCTTCGTAATTACTTTCTATGCATCAGAAAGCTGGACAATGACTAGGGATGCCTTTGAGCTGTGGTGCTGAAGACGAATATTGAATGTACCATGGACTGCTAGGAAAACAAGCAGATTCATCCTGGAGAGGGTGAAACCAGGCTGCTCCATGGAGGCAAGGATTCTGAGGCTTCATCTGACGTACTTTGGGCATGTTGCAATGAGGGACCAGTCCTAGGTGCATGCTTGGGAAGGTGGAGGAACAGCACAAGAGAGGAAGACCCTTGATGAGATGGACTGATCCAGTGACTGAGGTAATGGGGGTAGGCATGTCAGAGACAATAAGATTGGTGCAGGATAGACAGAGTTCAGAGCTGTTGTAGATAGGGACGTGATAAGTCACAAGCGACTCATAGCACGTGAGCAAGCGTTCCCTTGTTCTGTTTGGACAACATCTTCTTGGCCCAGGTATCTATACAGCATTTTACTACATCAAATGCTATTGAATTGCTATACACGTTACAAGGGCTGGTTGTATTCTATGACTCTGACCTCAATAAAAGCATGCAAGCCTGGTCTGGTTCTTTAGAACACTCCTGAATAAGCCACAGTGTAGGAAGTTAACTCCCCTGAGGTCCCTAACCTGTGCAGACACCCAAGCACAGTGTGTTCCAATCCACAGTCACCTCTGAGCCCAGGCTTTGGGTCATGCCAGCTCAGGCACCCAATGATTGAGAAGAAATTTCCATGATTTCAACCTCTAGCTGCTCCAGTGTTCCCAGCCAAAGCCTCCGACATCAAGCTGCCGTACCCTGCTCAAATCCTTGACCCACAGAATTTCTGCTCGTGTTGACTGCCAGTTTCATCATCTGTAAAATGGGGTCAATAGGACTTATCTATGTTTTAGAGTTCTTGCGAGGGCTGAATGAGAGTCGCTGGTAGGAATGATGGAATAGTTTAGAATAGTGTCTGGTGTTTACGCGCTGCGGACGCACCTCCTCCTGCTCTGGTTATCTACTGATTATGCCCACAACTTCATTTCCCCATTCCAATCTCCATCCCCGGCTAGCTGGGCCACTGGGCCTCCTGCCAGGCCAGTCCCACTCTCCCTGGACTATCCTCCTTCCTCACCTGACTCCTTTCATCCTTGTAAACACTTTCCACTGTACAGGGCAGAGAGAATTTGTGTCTTCAGCTTGGAGGGGACATGTCATCTCCGGGAAGAACTGGGGAGCTAAGAAATGACATCAGTGCTACAGGAGCCAGAAGAGAGGGGCAGGGCCCCAGTGTCACCCCCCATCTCATCAACCACTGCCAAGGTCAGATGGCTGTGGGCCCCTGGGTGAGGCTGACACTGTCCTACCCAAGTGCAAGCCCAGCACACAGCTGTACCTGTGGGCCTCCCTCCAGTCCGATGCCCACGCCACCAGCATTCTTCACGCCGAGCAAAAGCACACGTCCTACAAGCCCAGCTTTGTGCTTCTGCACATGGTCATTCCTTCGGCTGTCTGGGAGCTGCCAGGTGTTGCAGCAAAGGCAGGGCACACGGTGCTGACCAGAGAGCTTACGCTCGGCTGGTTTCCAGGCTAGTGAGCAAAATTCACGTGTCCCCATGGAGTGGAGTGCCAAGAAGGAAAACTACAGGGTGAACTGGAGCCTGAGGGAGCCAGGACTTAGTCGAGGCTTCCAGTGGGGGTGAGCTGGAAAAGGAGGTTGGAGAGTGAGGTAGACAATCGGGGGAAGAAAGGAGGCATCCATGGTGGGGGCCTGGCGAGAGGAAGCCAGAAAGGTTACGTAAGGGGCAGCAAGAGGCAGCGAGTCTGGTGGTCAAGGAGGGGCTGGGCAGGGTCAGGGGGCAACAGAATGCGCTCTCCAAGCCTGATGCATGTGGATGTGGAGGACATTGTTAGCACTGGCACTGCAGCCAAACCATAAAATGAAAACCAGTCCGGATCGAGACATCCGGTCACCTTAAAAGTCAAGGTAAAGAGTTTGATCTTTCATCTAAGATCTGCAGAAGGTTGTGGTTGGAGGTCAAATTATCTGCTTATCTGCATTTCCTCCCCCACCCACTTAACTTTACTTTCAAAAACTACACACGTGCAGGGAAAAGGAATAGATATTTAGACATCTTGAGAAACATTTACGAGTAGAGGTCCGTGTGACACCAGATCAAGATGGAGAATGTCCCTTGCCTTCTAGAAAGCTCCCTTGTAGCCCCTCCAGTCCATATTCCACAAGGGTAACCACTACTCTAACTTCTACCACAAATATTACATTTGGCCATTGTAAAAAAATGTTCAATATACATACACACACAGCCATTTGTACTGATCTTAAAGGCACAGTCTGAAGAATGTTCCTTTATGTGTACCCCAAATCAAGCCAGAAAACACTTCCAGAGACCGGACAATCAATGCCACTCCCAGAGGGCAGTCCCAGTTCTGACTGTATGATAGGGAGTTCTCGTGGTGTAACCCTTAGGGAGCCGCACTGCTATGCCAAAAGCCACACCACATTGGCTGTTCGAATCCACTAGCAGCTCTACAGGAGAAAGATGGTCAATCTCCTCCCTTGCCATTTGCAGCTTCAGGAACCCAAGGGTGGATCAGGTTTGAGAAGATTCCAACTGGAAGGCTTGTACCAAGGTACAGATATCCCCTAATGACGTGTGATCATTTTCAAGGGTTGGTTTGGGGATTTAAAGAAAAATAACACTATAGAGTTTCACTGCCAACCCAAAAGGATGTACCTTGAGAGAAAGATGCGCAATCTCCTCCCGTGTGATTTATTGCCCCTGAAGCCCCACTGAGGGGTTCAGCTACGAGACAGTTCTGACTCCCCCCCACACAAGCAGCAGCCAGTGGCAGTGGCATGGATGCACGTGTGCCAGTAAGAACATACTCCCAAGAGTTTTTCAACAGCAGTGGTCTTTTGGAAACCCACCACAGGCCTTTTCTTAGATCTGGGCAGATCTTAACCCCTGCCTTTCCATTCCTAGTCAAGCGATGAGCTCTTGCACCACTAAAAGTCCCCAGGATAGTTTCCAGATACTTCCTTCCTGACTCACAGGGACCCTGTAGGGCAGAGGTCCCACCCTAGAGGGTTTCTGTAAATCTTTAGGGGAGCTGATTGCCTCAACTTTCTCCCGCAGAACTGGGTGGTTCAAACAGCTTTCCTTTTAGTTCACAGGCCAAAGCCCAGGCTATAAGCGCCACCAGCGTCCCACCTCCCCAATACACCAAGAGAAGCCAACAATCTTAATACAACGAGCGCCTCTCTAGGCAAGCCTATCAAAGTCCCATTGCCTGAGAGGCGGCCGTGATATTCAGAAGTCACTGCAGGCCGCATTGCAAATTCACTGGCCCGATGGTCACCGCCTGTCCAGCAACCTCGCCACATCTGGGGCGGCTTGGGGCGGTCGTCCGCCTGGCCTGGACCATAGTTACTCGCGAGGATGTGAAGTCCAAGGGCTGGACTCACGGTTTAAGACTGCTGTGGGCACAGATGAGCCCCGGCTTTAAAGCAACGCCCGTCGCCTGGACGAGGGCAGCCGGGCTGGGCTTGCGGCCAAGGGTGCCCAACACAGGGGCTGCGTGGTCGCTCGCCGGGTCCTCCACGGTCCCGACCGTGGACCCCAGGCCCCCCTGTTACACTCGGGACCCCCTCCGACCTCGCCTGGGCCCCTAGGCGCACGCGCCGGCGCGCAATCTCGGCGGCGCACTCGCACGCCCCGCCCCGACCACGCCCCCTGCAGGCCCCCGCCCCCGCGGCCTTCCCAG